AATTTTGCTGAAGTCTAAGGAGACTCTTGAGAGTCCCATGGACTGCAAGGTCAAACGTATCCATTCTTAAGGAAATCATCCCTGAGTGCTCACTGGAAGGACAGATCCTGAAGCTGAGACTCCAATACTTTGGCCACCTCATGAGAAGAGAAGACTCTCTGGAAAATACCTTGATGTTGGGAAAGATGGAGGGCACAAGGAGAAGGGGACGACAGAGGACAAGATGGTTGGATAGTGTTCTCGAAGCTACCAGCATGAGTTTGACCAAACTGCGGGAGGCAGTGGAAGACAGGAGTGCCTGGCGTGCTCTGGTCTATGGGGTCACAAAGAGTCGGACACGACTAAATGACTAAACAACAACGATTTTCCCTTCCTCTTGTTTTCAGTAGCTCTTTTAGCAAACCCCTCCTGCCTTCTCCACCAAGATGCTCAGTTATTGAGCCATTATTTCAAATTTATAACCCACCCTTCCTCCCCAATGGGTTCCCAGGGTAGCTCAAGATAAGAATGAAATTACATAATTCAAAACAACACTACAGTTAAAACCAGCAGTGTATAAACTTCATAGACGTTGAAGGGTCAGCCTAGGCACAATGCCAGGGATTGAAGTCTGCTATTTATGGCAAGGCTTAAGGCTTCCTGCTATTCTAGCAGGTTTCCCTAGGAAACTCTGCCTCGTTGCAAATGACTTGAATTCTCCAGAGTTTTGATTTACTCTCATATGGGCTGCCATTTGAAAGCACAAATACTTCACACTGCTACCATTCCCCAAAGGAGTATAGTTGTCTCATGGATACTGCACAGTATATGAAATGTAGCTTGCACAGATGCTATGAAAACCTAGGCTTTCTCTGCAATGCTATAGCCTCAACCAATGAAGCAATGGTAGCATAACACACTGTCCACAAATAACAGATGGCAAAAGTTTAGACTTACTACAGGGTCACTGTATGTGTGTGTGTGTGTTTTGTGTGGATGAATAATCTACCGGACTTCTGAACACAGGAGCTGCTGAAAGGGAGCACCGATCATTGCATGGTTTTTTAAGGCTCTCTGAAATACCCAGGCATTCTGCTGATTGCTATGTTTCTGTTTCTTTTTACAGGAGTTTATGAATGCTCCTGCAATTTAGTATAGCAGGAAAAGATTCAGCCTCTCAGAAAGGAATAAGAAAAAAAAAGAAAATAAGGGCTTGCTCACACCAGAGTATAATGCGAATCAGAAATTGCTTGTGTTCTCATTAATTTAGCATCACCCACATGACATCTGCAGCAAATAATTGTGAACTCACACATTCCCCCTCTGAAGTTGGGTTTCTCAATCAGAGAAGTAATTTAAAAAAATGACCTCAGCCTGGTGCACTTTGGGTAGCGGATGTTTTGCTTTGGGTTTCTTTTTAACTTGGTTTCTTTAACTTCTTTTTAACCCTCCACTTTAGCTACTCCCCTTTCCAGACCCCTCCTAAAAAAAAAAGGTTATTTTCCAGCAGTGTTTGTGCTTACTATATGCAGTCTCCCTCCATTTGTGAGTGCTGTATTGAATGATTGTTTTAGTCACTTGCTCAGATTTTCACCAAAAAAGGAGCATTAAAAATAAAAACTGCCCTTGCAGGTAGGGGAAGCAGAAAAGACAAACAGGAGGAAAGGAAAGACCAACATTTGGGAGGAGCAACTCCAAATCCTTGCCTGGCTTAGAGCAACACACTTTTTAAAAAGTTCTCTTGTGCAAATCTGGAATATGGAATGGGAAACACCAGGACAGGTTTGGTAAGCGTGAGATTGAAAGCACAACTGTTTGCTTCAAGTAGCAGATTATTAGAATAGGATGTGCACCAGGCACATCTTTCAGTCTAAAATACCGTACTTTGCAGGGTTGTTGTGGTGATAAAATGGAGAGGGAGAGGCGCATGTATGCCACTTTGAGCTCCCTGGAGGAAAGGCAGAATACAGATATAAAAAAATACATACATAAATAAACTTAACAATACCCCCTTGCACTGATCTTATTGCATATCACTGGCTTGTAAAACAAAGCCAAAATTTGGAAGATGTTAGTCACTGTTCTCAGACCCTTACTTTGGCTTGGCTCTTTCTTCTTTATTTCTTTATTTTTCCAGGGGAGGGGCAAGAGAGATTTCAGCCACTTTATGAAATCCTGGCTCTGTACTAAGATCAATGGAAAATTTGCCACGAATTTCAAAGAAGTCATGATGAATTTTCCCAACTAATTTCAAAGAAGTCATGATGATGAATTATGGTGACATTAACTTACTCAGAGCCTGTGTTGATACTGCTTTATTTTTGGCGTGAGCTGAGCAATGAGAGATGGATAAATCCTGGCTAAGCAGCATAGCTGTAGGAGTTAAGGGGGAGAAGAAATGTAAGAGACAAATACAACCCCTGCAAACAGATCCCCCCCCCCCCCCCGTTCAGGACAAATGCCAAACAGGGGAAATAGGTTCATAAATCAATGGGAATTAACTCTCGTCGTCATTTACTTTTAATTAATCATTAAAATAAACGATTGCATTGTCCACAGAGTCCATAGTTGATGAGATACTTTTTACTATCACCTTTATTAGCGCTGTGGGTTAAACCACAGAGCCTAGGGCTTGCCAATCAGAAGGTTGGCGGTTTGAATCCTCACGATGGGGTGAACTCCCGTTGCTCAGTCCCAGCTCCTGCCAACCTAGCAGTTCAAAAGCACGTCAAAGTGCAAGTAGATAAATAGGTACCGCTCCGGCGGGAAGGTAAATGGCGTTTCTGTGCACTGCTCTGGTTCGCCAGAAGCGGCTTAGTCATGCTAGCTACATGACCCGGAAGCTGTACGCCGGCTCCCTCGGCCAATAAAGTGAGATGCCGCAACCCCAGAGTCGGTCACGACTGGACCTAATGGTCAGGGGTCCCCTTACCTTTATTATGGAGCATTTCTGGATTTTCGTTTAAAAATGGAAATGTCAGGATATGATTAAGTTGGAGTGGTCAACATGACACCCCCTCTCCACTGTTCACTTGGTAACGAAGGAAGGGGTGAGGGTGGTTACCTTTTTCTCACCTGGAAAGTACACAGGAGGAAGAAATTGGAAGGGAGGTGCTGCTTCCCACTTTCTCCTTCCATCTGCTTGCTGCAGATTGGTTTTGCTTTACCTCACAGGCAAAGTGTGTCCATTTGAAAACAGATGTAGGTGGTCTTGGCAATGGGGTGTAGCCACACTTGTCCAATAAATGGCATTTTGGCTTGGTGTATACCAAGATCTTGAGAGTCCCATGGACTGCAAGAAGATCAAACCTATCCATTCTTAAGGAAATCAGCCCTGAGTGCTCACTGGAAGGACAGATCCTGAAGCTGAGGCTCCAATACTTTGGCCACCTCATGAGAAGAGAAGACTCCCTGGAAAAGACCCTGATGTTGGAAAAGATGGAGAGCACAAGGAGAAGGGGAAGACAGAAGACGAGATGGTTGGACAGTGTTCTTGAAGCTACCAGCATGAGTTTGACCAAACTGCTGGAGGCAGTGGAAGACAGGAGTGCCTGGCGTGCTCTGGTCCATGGGGTCACGAAGAGTCGGACATGACTAAACGACTAAACAACAACAAATACCAAGATCACAAACACGACTTCCATCTTCATTCAACTGGAGCATGTTCAGGGAGGAAAAGGCATTGATAACCTAATCCATACAAGTGTTTTCAAACACATATCAAGTAACTAACGCCAGCCCTTGTGGATGGCAGGATCTGGACGCAATCTAGATTGACAGCAGCATGCTAAGGATGAGCATGAATGATACAGGGTTGAGGGAAAAAACTGTATTTTTGTGCAATGAAGGGGTTGATGTGTACATAGCCATTGTTTTCATCAACCTCTCCACCACAATCTCTTTCCTGATCAGGTACCCACCACCTCAGACCTCATCTCTGTATATGTGAATTTAGGATTCCACCACCACTACCATGCACATCACTTTACACTTGCTTATACTGAACCAAATTTGAAATTTTTAATACCTATTCCTCTGGAGCTACTAACAATCCCATTTCCGTAAACCACCTTGAATAGCTGGATTTCATCAAAAGCTTGGCCACCACACTGTTTAGCCCTGTTTTTAAAAAACATTTTACAAAAACACCAGCCCCAGTACAGATCCTTGGGGAACCCCCACTTCTTCTACCCCTCCATTGTGAGAATTGTCCATTTATTTCTACTCTCTTCATCTGATCTTTAACTACTTACCAGTCCTTTTTACCAGTTTACCCACATGGTCTCGGATTTCCTGCACAAGAACGTAAGAAGAGTTTCAGGACAATGGCTCATCTACTCCAGCATCTTGTTCTCAGAGTGGACAGCCAGATGTCTGTGGGAAACCCACAAGCAGGACCTGAGCACAAGAGCACTCTCTGTTCCTGTGGCTTCCAGCAACTGGTGCTCAGAAATATTACTGCCTCCACTATGGGGACTAGCCATCTCATAAGCTTCTATCATTTCACTTCTTACTCACCATTTTTCTAAACTAAGTCCTTTTCTTCATAGAAGAGTCACTTCGTCTGCCTTGTTCCTTTTTTGGTTGCCCTTTTCTTAACCTTTCCCAACTCTGCAATATCCTTTTTGATGTGAGAACTCTACACAGCACAGTATTCCAAATGCAATCACACCCTAGAGTTGTATAACGGAATTATGAAATTGGCAGCTTTATTTTCAGTTCTTTTCCCAATGATTCCTAGCATGGAATGTGCCTTTTTCACTGCAGCTGCACACTGGTAGGTTGGGAGGGTGTGTGTGTGCTTGCAGCTGCACACTGGTAGGTTGGGAGGGGGTTAACTAGGGCCTTAATGCCATTGCCCTCCACTGCATTTCATCAAGCAATTATTTTTCTGATAGTTTTAAGATCCGCTGCAATCGGTGCTAAGCTTTCAAGTCAATAAAAGGCACAGAGTTCAAATAATTTATTAAACATCCGGCCTGTGTTTACTAACACGGAGGTGAACAACTCAGCCCAAAGAACTCGTCTGCCTTCTTGCGCCTAGATTATGCGAGCGTTTCTCCCTACAAAGGGCAAGCAAAGAAAAGTTTCCCTGCCGTCTGGGTTTTATTTATCAGATGTTTCCAAGTCTGGAAGGGAACTTTTGGCGCGGGGACTTCAACAAATCAAGGATGTTAAGGTCAAGCCTAACCTCTGACACATTTCCTTTCAGCCACTGAAAGGGAAGGTCTGCGGGAGTGAAGATATTGTTGTGATGTGAGCTGTGAAGCAAAGGAGTCGCCTCGACGCCACATCCCCGCCATTCAGACTTGGCTGGTGCTCGCGAATGCCACTGCGGGGAGGCGAGGCAAGATGCGGGGCCTGGTGCTTGCCTCTCTCGTCCTCCTGCAACCTCTCCCCGTGCCAGGGGGCCCCACTGCCGCCGTGCGCCCCCAGAGCGACCACGCCTGGTGCCACCCTTCGGGGTCCTGCTACAGCGTTCACGTGGGCAGCCTGAGCTTCCCCCGCGCCCAGGACGCTTGCGCGGCGCACGGCGGGCGCCTGAGCACGGCGAGCGGCCGGGTGGAAGTGCAGGCCATCGTGTCTCTGCTGAGAGGGGTGGCCCGCGGCGGGTCGGGCGCCTCCTTGTTCTGGCTGGGCCTGGTGAGGAAGGCTCAGCAGTGCACCATGGAGGAGCTGCCGCTGCGGGGTTTCTCCTGGGCCGCTGCCGGAGGACTTGTTGCGGAGGCGAGGAACGAGAGCGCGGCCGAGGGGAGCCTCTCATGGGTGAAGGAGCCCAGCAAGTCGTGCACCACGCAGAGGTGCGCCGGCCTGCAGGTGACTTGGGGCGAGCCTCGCGCCGCCGAGTCGTGGGGCCTCGCCGAGCACGCCTGCGCCAAGGCCAACGCGGGGTACGTGTGCAAGTACAGCTACGCGGGCGCGTGTCGCGCGCCTGGCGCGGGAAGCCACCTGCACTACGCGCTCCCTTTCCGCCTCCAAAGCGCCGCCGTGGAGTTCGGCCCGCCGGGCACGGTGCTCACCCTGAGGTGCCCCGGGCGGGAGGCGCGCTTCACCTGCCGCCTCTCGCCCGACGGCTACCGCTGGGAAGGCACCGAGCGCGGCCTCTGCTCCTGCCCCAGCGGCTACTGGAGCCCGAGCGAGGGAGCGTGCGTCGAGCTGGCCGACTGCTTCGGCGCCCGGGGCGCCTTCCTGTGCCTGTGCGCCTGGGGCGCTCGCTTGGCGGCCGACGAAAAAGCCTGCGTGCCGCCGGCGGGAACTGAAACGCCGCCGTCTCCTGCACTGTCTCCCTCCCCGAACGGCTCTTCGGACGGCCTGCCTGGCTGGAACGACTCCCTGGCGGCCACCTTGCCCTCCGAGGTGGGCAACAGCAGCAGCGCCCCCGGAGCCGTGTCTTCCAACTACCTCTTCATCCTGATCACGGTGGCTGTGGTGACGCTGGTGATCCTGGTCATGGCCGCGCTGCAGATCTTCCAGGCCTGCTTCAGGCTCTGCTGCTCTAAGGGGTCTCAGACCAAGAAGGACGGAGCTCCGGCTACGACGGCCACGACCGCAGATGGCGACCCCGAGGATTCGGATCATTCCCTGGGGCCCAGCAAGGCAGAGTCTGCCGAGGTTTCTCAGGATGAACCCAAGTCTGTGGCGGGGCAGGTGGAGCAGGAACAGCCCCGAGGGGACTGAGGCTTTATTTGAAGGAGGCAATGGACTTTCATTCAGAGAAGGCGCTTTTATTAGGACAGGAATGGGGAGCCTGTGGCCCTCCAAAGGTTGTTGGACTACAACTCCTATCATCCTTATCCGTTGGCTGCTCTTTCTCAGTTAAAGTGCTAAGTAACTCCACAGTGCTGCAAGAGACAAGTCTCATTAAGACCTGCCAAGCTGCTTGTAGAACAGTGTAATCCTATGCACACTTACTTGGGAGTAAGTCACATCAACTTCAGTAGAATTTTCTCCCAGGTGTGCATGCAAGATGGCAGCGTATGGTAACGGTGAAGGCCCTGTGGGACTCCCAATTGCTGCTCCCCAGCTCCCATCACCCCTAGCCAATGGGCAAAGGGATATTGGGAGTTATAGTCCAGCAACACCTAGATAGCCACAGTTTCCCTATCCCTGTAAAAGAAGATTTCTATGACTTAAATAGCTTTCCAACATTATTTTGAATCTGGTGTTGTCCTCCGTCCTTACTAGGCTTCTGGGGTGCCAGTACAATTGTGCATGTGTGTGTGATCTATTTGTGAGACTTAGAAAACAGCCTGAAATCTTAGTACTGTGTCTCGACTGACTCATGGATTGGATGTATGAGAACTCATAAGAGAAGTGTTGGCCAGTGCATGCTAAATTTTGTCGCACAAAAGCATTATCTGTTCCAGTTTCCTTAAGTGGGAATTCCAAAAACCTGCAAGGTATGTCTAGCTTATACTGGCTCGTTGCTCTGTATAACATTGTGGGGTGGAAATCTGTCAAGATTTCACTGAGGGTCCAACTCATTTTCCCACCTTCCAATTCCTTGAGGTCGCCTTTAGAAGTCATTGGCCAACTGAGGTGTGGTAGGTTTTGACTGGGGAGAGAGTCTTCTTGGTAGTGGTGTCCAGGTGGTACAGACTATTTTTTTGGGGAAGGGGTCACCTGGCACTCATGCTGTAGCCTTTTCAGAACCACGCAAAGACCTTTTAGTTTTCCCAGATATATGGTTCCAAGATTAACTGATCTGTGGCTGCCTTTATTTGAAACTTAATTTTGTTATATGTTTCTGTTTTTTATATGGCTGGTTGTTTTCTCTACAGATTTGGTGTAAGCCACCTTGGAATATTGTGTTTTACAGGCAGCGTTAGAAAATGTATTAATGCATAAAATGAAGATTTAAAAAATGAAAATTAATTGGTACACACAGATGCATGCCAGTAGCCCGAGGAAAGCCCTGAAATATACATTCTGGATTCTAAGTCAGTCCTACTGCCATTATTTAATTAAAATTGGGTGTGATCCAGGCCCAGTCACTATGCCAGCTCCAGGCTAGTTTAGTCTGCAACAGGCTTTTTCTGGCTCCTCCACCTTCCACCCCAGCTGGCATCAGCAATGGGGCTACAGATGTGGCAGTGGCTCCAGCACTCTTATCATGCCTTGCCAGGGTTTGGTTTGCTCTGCCATTTCTCACTGCAGAGCACTGTGGAGGGGCCAGTTTGGAAGGAGAAACAAATGGGGTGGGAATGTGGGGAAATGGGACTCAGTGAAAGCTTTAAGCAACATTTCTCGCTTCAATAAAGGAAAGGGGTAGAGGATTTCTTTTTAAAGTTTTCTCTCTTCTCTCCCACTCCACAGCTGCATTCCTTACATTTCTCTCTTTTAGCATTACTTGAATAGGGACAGTCCTGCCTGTATGTGTGCATTTCAGCTAAGGAATATTTTAAGTCAGTATTCAAAAAACGTGAATGTTGGTACACACCCACACACCTGCCCCAGATCATTTGAAGAGGCCATTAATTTCCAACACAAATCATATTTTTGCAACAAATACGTATGTAATGTTTGTAGTATATGTTATAGCATTGAGTGCTTCTAAGCCTCCTAATGTTCATCGGTTAAAAGCACAGAAAACCCATTAACATTGCAAAGGCAGGGATTGCCCATTCCATCTAGTACAGTAGGACAGTGTATCCTCTTGTCACTCTTTAAATCTTATTTCTAGACCATTAATTCCTTCTAAGACACTTCAAAATGATTATATGCATCTTGAAGCAGAGGGGGAATGTAAGCTATGATTATGAATATATGATGAATATTTGATGATTGATCTTCATCACATAATCGGGAGTAAAATTCAAATCCTCAAAAAGACGTTTAATAATATTTTAAACTACAGAGGGCTTGATTAAATGTGCCATGGGATTACAGTGAAATTGAAAGGTGGCCAGGGGCAAAATTAAAAGACTTCAAAGGACCATTTTTAAACACCCACCCGCAAAGTACTACAGTCTAATGAAGATTTTTAAAACTGATTAATTGGGTATTTCCCTATCATTTGGTGAAAATTCTTTTCATCTACAAACAGCTTCATCTCCTAAAACCACTATCCAGGATATATTCACATCCACCCAGCAAATGAGATCTGCATGTACTACTTATGATGTGAATGTACACTGCAGTGTTCATCCGCCCTCTGCTGAACTTGACAGACGCAAGCAATGTAGATGGGGGGTGGTCATGCTGGTCTGGGACCACTAACCACATGTAGTCATGTGCTACTAGAGCTGCATTCAGTCTGTTGGCTCTGCTACAAATACCTTGATGTGCATAACTCTCTATGCTCAGTGGGGTACCAAGTTATCCATATTGCTTTGGAGGGAACAGGGAAACGACCATGAAAGCTCTGTGTGTATACACCTCAGAACTACCAATAATGCATGAACTCATTAGATTTGGGTGATCCATTGCAATACAATGTAATACCTGTAATTCAATGAGATGTGATAGTACAGCCTTCTGTTATGTTGTGAAGAGTGTGTGAAAAGTGCACCAATGCAGTCCATGCTATTGAAGCATAGGCACTGTGGTTCCTTGGATCATACATTTGTGGAATAAGGTAGCTGTTTTTAGCACGAAGCCATCAACTGTAACTATTACATGGAACGAAAAGAAGTCCTACTGATTTTGATGGAACATTAGGTTGGGAGTTTCACGCTAAAATTCTAAGCACGACACTCAGAATTATGGGCAAACACGGAAGTTCCATGTCAAGCACTTCCCTTCCTCTCCATGATAGCTAGTACAACATGCCTAGAGGTCCTGACATCATTACACAGTGCATGTCCCTACCAGGAGCAGACAATACTGTTGAATAGTAACAGGGAAATGCATTGTACTAGGGTTAGGGCATGAGAAAAGTTGTACAAATGCGGAACAAGGCAGTTTGGCATGGGGCTGCTATTTTCAGTGGCAACCCAAAATTTCTTATAATGTTTAGTTCTGCCCAGTAGTGGTTGGCATGGTAAGGTGGAGTTGCTTACTTGACCTGTCAGGTGAGTCACTGCTACTTACCAGAAGGGGGAGCAGAAAGGTTTATGAAGTGCAAACACAGCAGCTGAGCCAATCCGATGCTCCTGCTGCTTTGTTTGCACTGTGCCACCCTCCTCCTGGTAAGCAGCAGTGACTCACCTGTCAGGAGGTGAGCTAAGTATCTCTGCTCCACCATGCTGTCTAGTACTGGTTCTGTACCATAAATTGATTTTGTTGTTTGTAAGTCGCAACAGCATGATCTACATACCTACCCAGAAATAAGGTCCTTGGTAACTTCCAGGTAAGTGGGTATTACTGGGTTCCATCTTAGGGGTTGAATCAATGGTGCTGATCTTGAAACATGGAATAAAATGTATCCCGGAGCAGGTTCCAAGCACCACTGAAGTAGCAGGCTGTTTTTAAGAGGATTGCAGGCAGCATTTCTTCGTTTCTCAGAAAAGCTCAAAAGAACTGTTGACAAAGTGCCAATTAAGCAGCTGTAGCTTGTGTATCAAGAGACAAGTATTTTTTCTCTATAGCACAAAATCAGTATAGATGACTTATGTGTTTACTACAGACAATGCCAGCATGGGTTTATTGTTTGCTGTCTGGGGGCCTTTCAAGATGACCAAATAAAATAAAACGGAAGTACAGTGCAATCCGATATATTTCTACACAGAAGCCAGTCCTGTTGGAGTTGCCCACTCTGGTATAAAACTTAAATAATTTTAAAAGATCACAAAGGAGTTAGAAGATTGGGATGTTGTTCCAAGTGTTGTTTTAGAACACAGGCATTATCCAATAAACACTTCTTATAATGACCACCTTCTGCTGGGCAGTACTTGTTATTGCGACAGGTGTAGTTTGATTGCTGGAAAAAATGTAAGCCAGTAATCACACATCTACTGCAAATGTTTGTTCTTTCCCTGATAAAAGACAGACGTGTCAAAATTAATATATTAAATTGTACCAGCAAATCAAATGAGCGCAAATCTGATGAAACCTCTCTCATCTACCTAAAGGTAAAGGACCCCTGACAGTTAAGTCTCCCGTTGCTCAGTCCCAAGCTCCTGCTAACCACTCATCTACCTACCTACCTATTTATCATTTCTTTTAGATTTATACTGTGGCATGGCATCATATATGCTGTAGACAAGGTCTTAGGTGATCTATATGCGAGTTTATATCTGGAATTGTGAAAATAAAATCTCAACAATTCCTCTTTATATGTTAATTTAAGAGATAACTACGCTCATGACAAGTTGGGATATAGCTTTTTTGTTGTGGAAAGGATGCCCTTTTGGTGGATCTGCCTTGTTGCGAGGAAGTTTTAGAAAAAGATCAAGGTAGCAATTAAAAAGGACAACAGAAATGGAGCATGTAAAAGAATGATAGAGCATTCTTTGAACCATGTAATTCTTTTTCTATGGATACAGAAGAGATCTTCAAACTGTTATGAACTCGTTTTATGTATGATTGAAGTTATGCAAAACATTGCAGAATCCCTATCCACCCCTTTAAGAGTGGAATGAGAAAATGAATGCTTTGAATATGCCTTCATGTCACAGCTTACAAATTATATGACAGCGAAGAAAGGGAAACAGCTGGAAATTTTGCTTATATAATTGGAAAACTTTTATTAAATATTGACAGAACAACTGAAGTGCAGTATACCCATGTTCAATGCACATGAAGTGCAGTCTTATAGGATATACAATGCATGCCTATTCATAAGTCCCATTGAGTTCAATGAGTTAATTAATTAATTAAATTTATATACTGCCCTTCTAAGAATCACAAGGCAGTTTACAGTATAAAAACAGAGAAATGCATAACACAAACATGGAATCTAGTCCAGTCCCCTGCAATGCAGGAATATGCAGCTGTTTCATACGGGGATCAAACCTGCAACCTTAGCATTATCAGCACCACACTCTAACCAACTGAGCTATCCAGGCCATAATAGCAAACAAAACAATAACCCCCTCTCTAGTTTCAATAGCCATAGATAATTTGATTAGCCTAAGGCCTGGGAGAAGAGGAATGTTTTCACCTGGCACCTAAAGATATGTAATTAAGGTGCGAGGTGAACCTCCCATTCCTGTGCTTGTGAATGTTCTGTTTTTAATGTAACCATAGGAACATGTCAAAAAAACTGGCCATCCACATGTGGGACTACAACTGCCCTCATCTCTGACCGTTGGCATGATATAAAGGATAGTACCTAGAGGACCACAGACTCCCCATCCCTGTTTTATTCAAAAGCTCAGTATTGTTTAATTTGAACCAATAAAATATAGATAGCCATCTTTTTTTGTTTACTACACATATATATGAGTAGATTTGATTGGGATCGCAGGTAGTCTTCCAGGCAGAAAGCAATAATTATTTGGGAGGAGGATTAGAATTCTGCCAGTTCTAAATTAGTATTATTGCACCATGTAATCCCCATAAGGAGATAAATATACTGCTGCAATGTGGGGACAACGAAATACTGCTCCATAAAAACACTAATTACCAGATGACTTCGTGCCCCGCTCCCGGCTGGTCGCTCTGAGAAGAGGCTGCGCAGCACGGCTCGTCTAAACCTGTATCTCTCGTCTCCTGCCGGCAAGAGCCAAGAGACATGGTCTTTTGCCATAACTAGTGCCTCTACCTGTGGTACACCTCTGCGTGGGTAGTGGGCAGCCACTCAATGTTTCTCTGCCGCCTACCCTGCCTGTGGGGGCTAGCTCGCACACACACAGCCACGGCACAGCGATAGCGCGCAGTACTTCGCGAAGATGCACAGCCCTTATATTCTCAAAATACATTCTTCACAAGCCCCTTGTGTTGACACTCCAGGACAGATCCTCTTGTAATTCAATGCCCAAAAATCTGAACGTTGTTACCCTCTCCACACAGACCCCATCAATCAAAAGTGGCTGGACGTTGCTCTTCTGTCTCCTGAAGTCCACCACAAGCTCCTTTGTCTTCCTTGTATTTATGAGCAAGTTGTTAGCTCTGCACCACTCTGTCAGCCGCTCCACCTCATCTCTATAATCCGTTTCACCCTCCCTTTCAGGGATGAGCCCAATCACGGTTGTGTCATCTGCAAATTTGACAACCCTATTACTAGGGTGAGTAGTGACACAATCATACGTGTAGAGAATATAAAGGAGCGGACTGAGTACGCATCCCTGTGGTGTTCCTGTGTTAGTCTTGAGCATATTAGAGGTATAAGGGCCCAGCCGAACCCTCTGGGGGCGGTCTGACAAAAAGTCCAATATCCACCCACAAAGTGATAACGGAAGCCCCAGATCTTCCAGTTTAGACATCAGACGTTGTGGTAGAATGGTATTAAGTGCCGAGCTGAAATCTAAAAAAAGCAGTCTGGCATAGCCCCCCCCACTGCTCCAAATGTGCAAGGACGGCATGGAGGGCAATCGCCACAGCGTCCTCTGTCGATCTTTTCGTTTTATAAGCAAATTGGAATGTGTCCAGTCCCTCTGGTAGGCAGGCAATGACATAATTTTGTACCAGCTTTTCAAAGCACTTCATGATTATAGGTGTGAGTGCTACTGGACGAAAATCATTCAGATCTTCCGGGTTAGATTTTTTTTGCTATTGGAACGATAATAGAGGACTTTAGGCAGGATGGAACAATAGCCTGGGCTAGGGATCGATTTAAAATCCAGTGAAAACTCCTGCTAGTTGATCTGCACAGTCTCTCAATACCCTTCCAGCTACCCCATCTGGCCCTGTGGCCTTCCTTGGGTTGATTCCCTTCAACACCTTCCTCATCTCTTCCACAGAGACTACTGCATTCCTTTGTACTGATGATGGTAATGGTGGTGATGATGGCAAAGCCTTCACAGGGAGTGGTGGTGGTGTTGGTAAAGCCTCAGCAGGTGTTGCTGCAGTTGTTACTTCAAAACGGGCAAAAAAGGCATTCAAATCCTCTGCGAGGGATGCCCCTCCGTCTGCCAGGGAGTCCTTGGATTTATACCCTGTTAATTCTTGTACACCTTGCCACACCTGCCTGGTGTTGTTACTTTGTAGATGATTCTCCAGCCGCTGTCTATACGCCTCCTTTGCTACACGGATACCTCTCTTTAGATCGGCTCTAGCTAAGCTGTACAGCGACTTATTTCCACTTCTGAAAGCAGTATTTCTTGCCTTTAGCAACCCCTGACCTCCCTTGTCATCCAGGGCTTCCTGTTTGGGTAGATCTTTATCCGGCGCCTCCGTGTTACATTGTCAGTGCAGAACCTAATATAGCGATACATCAGACAAAGAAGTCAGGCAGTCATTGTCCAGAGGGCTTGGTCTACTCTGATGTAGTCTAGTCCAGCCATTCATCTAGTCAGCCTAGATAAGATACCTTATTAATTAGATAAATGTGAGTTTCCTCATGAGTGCATCTAGCACTGGGAGTCTGCTCCTTTTCTTTCTGAAGCATTTTTGGTTCCCATTAGAGGTGAGGCATGGATGTCCTTGAGATGAAACTCAAATAATCCTCTTCAAGCCAAACGAAGTGCAGTCAGAATCTTTGTTACTACTTATTATTAGAAGGAGGATGGCAGGCATGTGCTGTATAAACCAGGCCTGAGATCAGGCCTAGGCCTCAAATGCACCCTTCCTGGCCTCTCTGGCTCCACCTGCACTATACATTCAAAACAGTATCATAGCACTTCGTGTTCCCACAGCTAAGAGCTGCAGTTCCCTGAGTGGGACTCTTCCAGGGGAACTCTGTAAAGTGCAGCTCTGTGAAGGGAATAGGGGTCTTCTTTAAAAAAAATAAATCAGCACCATTAACAATGGGGGAATGTTCAGGGAGGCAGGAGAGAATATGTTGTTCAATAATATCGTTCCTAACTTGCGCTAGCAAGTTCTGTAACTTAGCAGAGTTTTAACATTCCCCTTTTTAAACGCACAGAGGTTAGCTTGTTGTTTAAGCTTCTAAAAATAGGATTCCTGGTAAGTCCCCTTATCTCCCCCTTAAAAAGAATAGACAGGACAATCTTATTTAAAGTCAATAAAAGAAGTTTACTCACAGTATCATCAGTTCACATTTGATCCCTGAAGGCAGACTTAGGTTACAAAATATATACACTGGAATCTATCCCAAAAGGAGATAGTCCCTAGCTGAAGAGCTGTTGCTTCTACAACAAATGAAGTCAAAGAAAGAGAGGGCTGTATCCCAGATACTTTTGTCACCTGGGCAGGTAAGGTCACACCCACCTCTATTTACATGTAGAGGAAGTTTGTCCCAGCCCAGGAGGAAACAGGAAGTTTTCTACTGGCTGGTGCAAACATCTGCTTTCATGTTCAGTCTAGGAATACTGTATTTGATTGCTATCTGTGTTTCACACCCCACAAACAAACTGCAGTTCTCAGGATTCTTTGGGGAAATCAATCTGTTTAAATTTGTATGATGCTGCTTTAAACGTACAGTACACATTGGGGCCTTTATCTGGCCCTTGGAGCGCTCCCCGTGCCCACACCTTCCCCCTTCCCCAAGCCTGCTCTGCACCCTTCCTGAATATTTCTGCTTGGCTGGAATGCGCTCTTGGATCCTGATGGTGCTCTTATGGGGTAAGTGAGTGTGAAGAAATAAGCCAGCTACAAAGGTAAAATTTCCATTTATTGTTGCGCTCACTTTTGCCTTTAACCCCATCCACTACTGCCGTGTGGCCTCTGGAAGGTTGCTCAGAAAGAAAGATGTTATTCATGAAAAATATATCCTATCCCTGACATAACCATGAAATTGTCCATAATGATACCTTGGATTAGTATCATGGGCCACAGATCAATGGACTGAGCACATGCTTTCCAAATAGATGTAAATTGCACTCACCTGAGCCAGCTATTTACCCTGCAGGGACAATGTAAGGGTGTGCATGTGTATATACAATTAAAATTAAAAGTAGGTTTAAACAAAATGTTTTTCCAGTCTTCCCAAAAACTTCCTAAGAACCCCTTCCTATTGAACAATATTTAGAACTTGGTGTTTCAGCTCTTCTAGCTGTTTCTGTCAAATCATATGCAAAATAAACCTGCCAGGGTGATAGGAAGAAGAAAGGTTTTAACTGTACTATTGATTTTCTGAGCTGCAGAGATCAATGTGTTCTGAATTTTTTTGTCTTTTGTACGTGCAATCTAGGGTTTTTTTACATAACCATCTGGAGCAACCTACATAGGACCTTTACGTTGCCAACAGTTCTACTACCAAAATGTGTCCCTGTAGCTCCCACTGAGCCTTAATTGGCTCCCTGATGAAAATGATGCATTTTCCATTTCATTAAACATATTCCAGCCCATCAATACATAACACAGTTCGTATCTTTGAAAGTGTTAAACTAAATAGCATGAGAATCCACAAGTCACTTGATTTGATTGGTATACAATAGTTGCTGTCACCATGTGGGTGTGCATTTAATGGGGAGTCTTTTATACATGAAATAGAAAAAACTAAAATAATCTCAAGATGATTTTCCATATCAGAAATGAATATTGAAATTGGGTCATTTTGCTCTTTCCTGGAGGAAAAGAATTTAAATTAATAACTGCTTGTTATTCCTGTTTTACTGATGAGGTGAATGTTAGATTGTCATCTAACACAAGGAACTCAAAATATACCCTTCAACATTTCTCTGATGAAAATAGGGACATCCTATTCCATAATAATAATAATAATAATGATAAGTTCACTATTTATATCCCTGACTGGGTTACCCCAGCCACTCTGGGCGGCTTCCAACATATATAAAAACATAATAAAACATTTAAAACTTCCCTATACAGGGCTGCCTTCAGATGGCAGGATGGGGGTGGGGGGGTTGGATAACTCCATACCCTCCAACATTTCTCTGAAGAAAATAGGGACGCCCTAAGGAAAAACGGGACATCCAGGGATCAAATAAAAAACCAGGGCAGCTTCTGTAAATCCGGGACCGTCCCTGGAAAATAGGGACACTTGGAGGGTTTGAAATACTGTTCCTTTAATAAAAGGCATTAATTTATATTATTATAGAAATTCTTGCAAAAGATTGAGAATCTGGAACAGGTCAGATGATTTGAGAGTTGGATGTGTCTACAGTATTCAGGAATTGTAATTATAGAACACTAATTCCTCAGAATGCTTTCTAATAACGCTGTAACATAATTAAAGTGCAGTAAAACACTGTTTTGAAGGCTTAGATTAGAAAGCATTCATGTGTTATTGCAAGATAAAACATTTTTTGGCCGTTGTCTCTCCCCTTCTTTCTTTTATCCCCAATTGTAATTTTTCCTTAGTTATTGGGGAAAGAAACATACCACACCACACAAACGTTTTTTCTGTGTCCTGTGGAGCTTCATGGCTG